GTTGGCTTTATATCCAATGACAAAAAAATATATATAATATTATATATTTATATACCAATTTTAAAAGTGCTAATTTATAGCATTTTCTAGCCCTATGTTTGTCAGCCGTCAGTCGCCCATGGTCCTTGTCTTGGACCGAAAGAGCTTGGACGAGGGGCAAATCATCGGGTGCCGCTGGCGAGTGTGGATTGAAGCATCAACTTTTTGGTGCTACAAAAAACTATGGAAACTCACCATGTTTAATGGGAAAATCAACTACTTCTATGGCAATTTTCAATAGCTATATTAAATTCTGCAGTACAAGGTGGTGCCCCAGTTTGTTAGCTAAGTTGGTGCAAATAACTCCCATAACTATGGTTTATGGCAGATATAACTATAGTATTCATGGGGTTTGTAAACCAACTTATAACTGGGGGGCACCATCCTGTAGGGATCTAAGATAATATCTGGGTAAATTATAACGACCGAACCCTGTTCTCCCGAACCCTGAAATCATGATTCATAAGGGGAATCATCCCCAGCCGCACTATTCAGGTTAGTGAAATCTTATAATTTACCCAGATAATATATACTAGGGCCTAGTGACATGAGTACTTGTGGTGATTTTCTCGATGACATCAGTATTCGTCCATACGTTTTCTCACTCCACATGTCATCAGCCCCTAGTATAATGGGATATAGTGGAATAGATCATGGGATTTAATGAGACAATGATGATATGGGATTTAAGGGAATATGTTGGGATGTAAATGGATGTAATAGACAATGGGATATTAAAGGAATATGAATGGAATCGAGACGGCATATATATATAATTACATATATATATATACATATCATCCCCATGGATCCATGGCCACTGTCTGAGAAGGTACTTATCCTAACCCCCTAGTCATCATACTCCAGTCCCTCTTCCTTTCAGAAGGTACGGCTGGATCTATAGGGTATACTATGAATGGAACGGCTGGGTTCTGGGGAAATTCTATGAAACTCACCTCGGGACGGCAGCCGGAGAACTCTCCCATTTGAAATGACCTTACGACAAAAACGCAACGGTTAATGGATGGGTTATTCCCCAAAAATATACCCTCTGGTAAACTAACATAACTGTGGAAAATCACCATTTTTAGTGGGTAAATCCACTATTTCTATGGCCATGTTCAATAGCTATGTTAGTTTACCAGAGGGTAGGTTTCAGACTCATACCCATGAGGCGGGTGTGTCCGAGAATGATGTACAATGTATACCCCATATGTTGATAGCAAAAAATATGAAGCACCCCATATTCAGACAACCCCATAATGGGTAAGCCTGTGTTTTTGCCAGAAAATGATATGTAAGTAGTATTGTAAGCAAGTGCATTATTTTCCATATGTTGCTTAGTACATTTAAGGTCGGGTATGGCTTACTTAAATATGCTTGAATAGGATGGTAACTATGCACCAACTGTTTTATGTTTTTCTGGTTGCGTTAGTTGACAGCGGTTGGTTGATGTTCAACTAAATCATTATATATATACGGCAAATGCCTGGGTTTTGCCCGGACCCGCAATGACGACGGGCGACGCATCATCATCATCATCATCAACATCATCAACATAATCATCATCAACATCAACATCATCAACATCATCAAACCCTTATTGATGATCTTCAATGAATGTAGAAGTTTAAAAGGGGTGGGATAATTAAACCCTTATCGAAGATCTTCAATGAATGTAAAAGTTTAACGGGGGTGGGAGAATTAAACCCTTGTTGAAGATCTTCAATGAATGTAGAAGTTTAACGGGCGTGGGAGAATTAAACCCTTATTGGAGATCTTCAATGAATGTAGAAGTTTAACGGGGGTGGGAGAATTAAACCCTCATTGAACATCTTCAATGAATGTAGAAGTTTAACAGGGGTGGGATAATTAAACCCTTATTGGAGATCTTCAATGAATGTAGAAGTTTAACGGGGGTGGGAGAATTAAACCCTTATCGAAGATCTTCAATGAATGTAGAAGTTTAACGGGGGAGGGAGAATTAAACCCTTATTGGAGATCTTCAATGAATGTAGAAGTTTAACGAGGGTGGGAGAATTAAACCCGTATTGAAGATCTTCAATGAATGTAGAAGTTTAAAAGGGGTGGGAGAATTAAACCCTTATTGAAGATCTTCAATGAATGTAGAAGTTTAACGGGGGTGGGAGTTTAATTTTCCCTAATACCGTTTTTGTTTTTCCTATAGGAATTTCGGGTGTTTTGACATTTTTTAAATATAGTCCATAGTACCTTTGTTGTTTTCCCCATAGGAATTTAAGGTTTAACGGTGGTGGGAGTTTAATATTCCCTAATATCTTTGTTGATCTTCCTAATTGAATGTTAAGTTTCACGATTTGAGAGTTTAAAATTTCCTAGTACCTTTGTTGTTTTTCCCATAGGAATTTCAAATGTTATGCCGTTTTTGTTTTTCCCATAGGAATTTCGGGTGTTTTGACCTTGTTTGTTTAATAGTCCCTAGTACCTTTGTTATTTTCCCCATAGGAATTACGGTAATTTGCAACATCATTTGTTTGTGAATGGGAAACCTCTACGCTGCAACGTCTGGGCAAAACCCAGGCGTTGCGCGTATATATATATAAATCTAGATACGAACAGGAAAATGGCTCTGGGACATCTTTGTGGACTCATTCCCGGAGAAATGGGGGTTAACCGGTTAGGATTTCCCACAATCACAGGGAATTCAGCCAGCAAATCTGAGCTTACATTCATAAAAATGATGTTTTGGCCCATACTTTTTTATTGCCTTTTTTTAGCCTTAACAGTTTTAAGTGGAGTTATAACTCCTGTAACTGAGCTTATGTATTTTATATATATATCACTTAAATGAGGCTTTCTGAGCCAGATATTTTGACGGTTTTCTGGGCTTGTTGATTGTAGCTTAAGAATCAGCAAACCAGCTAGATGTGGAAGTTCTTGGCACCCTGGCACCCCACAATCCAATGGCAGTTCATCACATTCCCCATTAAAATGACAGATTTTATGTGTACACTACACCACTTTACTCAGACACACCCAAAGCATGTCCCAAAAAAGTTAAAAGACCCTACTTAGAAACCTTACATAGCTGATACTAATCTATAGGTGTAACATGGTGTAACATAAACCAACACTGATTTCACTTGTCAGCACCAGCTTGTAGAAACTACTTTAGGCTGCATCCCCACTTAGTACACGGGTAAAACATCTCCAGTTATGCAAAATCTGATACCCCCTACTATATACCCATATGCTCCATGGTGCTGGAATATTTACCAACATTTTCCCAACATAAATCACCCAGTTTTGTAGGTAAAGATACCAGTACCATGCCATACATTGGTTACATGGAGCATATATTGGATATGGGATGAAATATAGTTCCCTATGGATCCAAGGCCATTGTCTAAGAGAAGGTACGGCTATATCAAATCATACCCCAGTCCCACTTCCTTTCAGAAGGTACGGCTGGATCCATAGGGCCATAAGGGTTACCATCTGGTTATGACTAACATAGCCATGGAAAATCACCATTTTTAATAGGTAAACCATCTATAAATGGGCCATTTCCCAAGGTTATGTTAAATAACCAGAGGGCAACCTTCCATTAATATTCAACCGAGCCCAGCGGCGAGCCCGCAAAGCCAGGCTTCTACAGGAAGGTGATGTATTGGGAGCCAGCCTTTTGGAGGTCCAGCCCTGAAGCCCCCCCGATGGGGATGGGAAACATCTATCGGAAAAGCCCTCGGAAAAACCATCGGAAATACATGGAAATACCTGAACTCAATGGAGCTTTTAATGGAAAACATCGTATATAAATGAAGGTTAGAGTTTTTATATGTTTTAATGATGATTTTTCACTGCCACGTTTGATTACAGGAGGGTATTTGATGGCTCTAATTTAATTGTGCCGGTTGAATCTTGGATGGTTCACCCCAAAAAAGGACAACTGGTTGGTTTTCGGATGATTAGATGTAACAAAGGTTCAAAATTATCATTATCATTAGAAGAAATACCACTTAAATGTCATGTATTGCAATAACAAATGATTCAGCAAATGTTACTGTTAATGTTCACACATTGGGGTTTTTCCAGTAATTCTGCCGGTCGGGATCTTGTCCTAGTCCTATGTGGTCAAATTGTGATACCCCAACATAGGAGAGTTTGCTGCTAGCAAGAATCGTTTTGCCTCAAATTTTGCTGCGTGCCCCACTGGGTGGGCCAAGATAGGCAATTAAGTAAGATCAGTCAAGTTGGCTTAGAACTATACATCATGATATATAGGCTACTAATAGGTTTACTAGTGTTCTTGTGTACCAAATTCCAATTATATACCATCTCATAACTGGGGGAGTGGTATGATCGTCCCGAAACTCCGTGTTGAGCTTAACAGGGGACCTGGAGGGAGACTTGCTGCGATCGATTCGCACGATGGCCTCGATTTGGATGGCCTGATGATCATCCCATGATCCCATGAGATTGGTGTTTAAACTTGGCTTTGTGATGTTACCCTCTGGTAAACAAAAAGCGAACTCGATTTTTTTCACCATTTTCAATAGTTTTTTTATCAAGGAACTAAATGATGTATGTTCAATAGCTATGTTAAATTATCAGAGGGTATATGTTGTTGTTGATTTGAATATTAATAATTCCCAATATTTGTTTAAAGAAAAAATGCAGGTCCCATTATATTCCATTATATCCCAAATGATGTCCCATATAATTCTAAATAATTAGATAGAAATCCAAGTATGCTTGCTTTCTCATGGTTTCCTCATTATAATCCTATCCAAAACCCCATACTGATCCCATATAATTTCCATCCCAAACACATAGATTATTATAATCCCATTCATTTTCCCATATAATTTACCATATGTTGTATAAACCCATATAAATTTCACAATTCCCATCTTAATTACATCCCCAAAATTTGCGAAACGGGAGTCCGCGACTTGTAACGCCGGCAGTTTCCCTGGGTGATGCTGCCGGAGGGTTCCTTCGTTCGACATCCCAAGATGCGGCAGGCGCGGTTGGGCTGGAAAATCCGATGGCTCTAGGTGTATATAATGTTCAAATGACTAACAATAATATATTTTTAATAATGAGATTAATATCAATGGATTGGTTTAAGGGAAAATTAACAGGAAAGCCCCATATTTAATGGGAAACTCTATGGTTTCCTGTAGATTTTCCCTTAAACCAATCCATCGATAATAATGATAATAAAAATGATATATATCCCTATATAGATCCAAGTACCTTCTTAGGAAGAGTTTGGGGTATGATTTAGGGGGTTAAGCACCTTCTCAGACAGTGTTTGGATCCATAGGGTATATATAAAATACAAACTAATAATAATGCTGATAATATAATATGTATATATATATATATATACTAAAAGAGTGTATACATATATATATATATATTTATACACAATGATTATTTCAGGAATGAAAATCTCAATGGATATAAAATATTTTAATTGCTATAATGACTAGCTATACGTATATATATATATGTATATAGCTATACAAAAATATGTGTATATATATATATGCTATTTAATATATACTAGGAGAAGTGATTTTCTGGCTTTGGGCACTTGACTCTGATGATGTTTGAGATATGTGTAGATACGAGGCTTTTTTTTGCTGGTATTTGCAGTATTTTTGAACATTCTATTGTGATCTTTGCAGATGGTTTTAATCCAGACACTGAAAAATAACCACGGCGCTGTGGTCGCATTTTTTCACGTGGAAGAGTTTTTTACACTGTTTTGGGTACCTCGAATTAGATGATTTCGGTAAAAAAAAACATGGTAAAACGGGGATCCTTCATTTTCGGAACGGTGCGGCAATGCCAGGTGTTCATGCTATAGTGGTTATATAAAACAAATGTGGCCAATGGTCATATCATTTATGAGATGTACATATATATATATATATATATATATCTGGTTGGTGGTTTGGAACATTTTTTATTTTTCCATATATTGGGAATAATAATCCCAACTGACTAATATTTTTCAGAGGGGTTGAAACCACCAACCAGATATATATATATATATAATTATATATATATATAATTGTTAAGTTATATAATATGTAACTAATGGGATTCATGGTAGATATATCTATTTTGGTAAATTATAACGACATCACTGCGACTGAACCCTGGAATGATGGTGAACGTAAGGGTTATATGACTATCCCAAAGTAGCCAATTTTCTAGGTCAGTGAACTTTTTTTATTCTGTACCCAGATATATCATCAATGGGTGTTATAAACCAACTATAAACAACTTATATAGCTGCAAAACTGGATTTCCTATACTCGGCGTCGACCGAGCTTCCTGGTAGCACATCTTGGCTCCTTTGTAGATGGGGTCGTGAATCGACAGCCAGTCTGTATTGTGCGTCCCCGATTTTCGGAATTTAATTCATTGATGCAACACCTTATGTTGTTTCCGGATGGAATAGGGAGGGCCTGTTCGTTCTTCGACACCTCTATGTTTGGTTGCTGTTCCGTTGAAAAGGTGTGATGCACTGACGAGGGAAAAACTTCATGACGTTGTGCCCCAAGCAAGAGGCTATATTCTGCTCTCCAAGGCAGCAAAACAGGCCCCTTGTAAATTCAACGACGCACGCCTAGCATCAACTGAGAAACCCATCCAGATCTGGCACCTGCCCTATCTGGATCGAAATTATGCACCCTTGGGCGTTGTTCAATGAAGCAACTCTACGCGAATAAGTCCCACACACCAAAAAAAAACTTCACTCACCCAGAGAGCCAGCGCATGCCCCAAGTTGACCGAAATCAGGGCACCTCCGCCCGCAACGCCGCTGATCCATTGAATGCGTGCTTGCAAAATGTTGATTGGTGTTGGTTGGTTTTCGGCCTTTGCAATGATTTGTGTGTGTGTGTGCATTTTTCGGCCCGCAGGGCCTGTGAAGATGACATGCACGCATTTGTGTTATATATTTTTTGTTTGACGTTGACCATTTCCAAGGGATGCAAAACACACTTTGTGGGTTTTGTCGCTAGGGATGGACATTACATCCGCCCAATATGACACTGGTCCGTGCATGAGCGGAAATATTTCGGAAGGGATTGGCACAATCAGATTTCCATTTGACAGGGCTCCTAATTCAACAGGCTGGGTTCGTATGTCGATTCTTGACGCTCAAAGAGTGGATGCTCATGAGGATGTCTTGAAATAGCACACGCATCTGGCATATCAACTCCCTGTGCGACAACTGCCATTTTTGGTTCTGTTTTTTTCTCATGGATTTTTTTCATCATTATTAGATCGGGTTTGACGTTCTCAGTATGTGTTTGTATACAATCATTTCTACAGCTTGGGTCCCTTCCCAGAAGTTGGTTTATAGACCCATTCAGTTGTAGATAGACTCACCAACAATTTTAGTAACATTAGTGTTGCTGCAGCCAAAACAATTTTTCAGGCCCCAAAAACATGCTGTAGCAAATTAAAATTCTCACCCAGCCACGGCGGACTCACCATCCCAGCCGCTGCGAAGGGTCGCATCAAGTTGCTCCGAAGTGGCTGGCTGATCAGCCAACATCCGCAGTATGGGGTTGGGTCCCCTGGGTCCTCCGATTTCTTCCTTGTAAGGTGAGTCGGAAGTGACATGAAATAACACTAAAGAACCAAATAAGAACGGGGTTGCATATGGATACCTTGTGTTGACACACACATTTTTTTCCATGATATGGTTTATTTTTACATTTTACAATTTTTACATACTAGTTGGGATGCGCATTGGCGGAAAAACATGTGAAGGGAATTTTATCTTGAAAAATGACGAACACGTGGGGGTTGATCAGCATGGTTTGGCTCAAGAACTGGTCAAAACTTCTGGTGAAAGGGGGTAATTTATAGTTGGTTTTTTGCCAATTAATTACATGGCAACATTTAAACAATTTTCAGTGAAACACATGCAGGATCATGCTGGTCACACGGTTCGGTGTGTTTGTTTTGTTTTTTCCCTAAGGTCAATACCATGATCAGGTTGCGTTTCAAACGATACATTGGAAAAGGAAATGAAAGGAATGGATAGGTATTGGAGGTGAACGGGTTTCACAAGGGTTGATTTTTTTTATATTTTTTTATGACTCCTTTTTCAGTACTCCTTGCTTGCAGGATCATCTCATTTACTCCTTGCATGTTGGGATGGACATGTATATTGTTGACCCACTGATCCTTTTTCGTACCACACACAACAATATCCAAACCACTTGTACATGGGGCAACCCCACTTGGTGGACCTGGCAACTAATATTACTATCAGTTACCAATAGGGATGATCCCCTAAGATCCAGGTATTTGGTGTGTTGGGAACGATTGATTTTTGGTGTAAGCAAAGGACAGGTCCAATTGCCAGTTTCTGGACAAAGACAAAGCGAATCATGTTTTTTATTTTCAATGCTTTAGTGTATATAAGTGGTAGAAACTTTGCCCCTCAGTGAACCAATGTTAACCCACTTAATTTTAGATTTGCATCCACCATACATCCAATCTTTTGCCTAGCCGTAAACAAACTTATTTATCTACCTGGCATAGAGGCCGTCATTGGAAGGATCGTCTGGTAAACTTCATGTAAGGATTACGCGGGGACTGTTAGCCGCAAACATGTGATGTATGAAAGAAGATACAATGTGGGGCCGGCCAAATATAGCTAAGTTGGTGAAAACAACTTTAATAACTATGGCATAGTACTTGTAACTATAGCATGCATGGGGTTTGTAAACCAACTTAGCTATCCACGGGGCTCCACTATGTAGAGCCATGGGGGATTCAGGTGATGGGTGATCCCGATCGATTTTTTTGGGGGGGTTGGGGGTGATGGGTTGAGATCATCGTTACATGGGTGTTTCATGGTGTTTCTCAAAATGGGGGATCCCCAGTCGTCACCATAGGTTCAATGCCAAGTGATGGTCATCCATGACTGGTTGATTCGGGGTACTCAGTACTCCCATTTTAGGAAACGTCCAGATATAGCACTATTGCTAGCACGTGTTTTGTGAAATAGGAGTTTACTACTTGTTCGTTGATGTTTCTTCTCTTTGTTATGGAACAATTTGCCATTTTATGTGACAATGGCACTTTCACCCCATGTTCCTTGACAATTCCCCTTTTCTTTGCGATGAGATCCCCGTATTTGTTGCTCGAACTTCTGCGGATAAAATCCCAAGTTGTGGTGAAATTTCATGTTTTCTAGGCTACAATAACCCCAACCCCTACCTGGATGTGCATCCCACTTATATAGTAAGTGGTTCAAGCATCATTTATATATCGAATCCATGAATCTAACGCATATTTCATGCCATACCTAACCATATTCCATTAATTTTCTTCTGTAATCCATCATGAAATCCCATTAATTTATATCTAATCCATTGATCTTCCATTAACCGAACTGGGGCTATAAGTTAGGTCCCATCTCTACTCGCTGGGGACCTCCAACCAGCCACGAGGAACTGATGCATGCCCTCAGCATGGATCAGGCCACACAGCAGTTTGGTACCCAATGGTAGTCATAAAAAAGGAATGGAATGATAATATTGTGAAACATATATGTTATATTATGAATAATGAAGTATGATGATTTCATAAAGCAATTACAACGGACAATTATTCGAATATGTACATATATATATATATATATGATATAGAACGATATATATACATACATATATATATGTATTATGTTATATTATATTATATAGAATAAGTAATTATAGAAATGTCACTCTGACTGACCTCACTGGAATCGCAGCAGCGCCGCATCGTGGACCACCAGCTTTTCAGCTGAAAGATGCCGTCGCCGTCGCCGAGCGGGGCTGCACCCCTGGATGATGATGATGATGTCTGGGCAAATTATAACGACCTCACTGTTCTCCCTCTGAAATCATCGTTAATAAGGGAAATCATCCCCAAATGGCCTTAATTCAGGTTAGTGAAATATTATAATTTTCCCAGATGATGTTCTTGTTGCGAGGAAAACGGTGTTTGCCTTGAGCACTGCAAGTTGACTGCAACCTCCTCGACTTCACTGCCAGTTTTCGCAAGTTGGTGGAGGACAGTTCATGCTGAATTGTTAGATGAAATCATTGTTTGTTGGTTGCTTACCCATTCATGTTTTTATTGTGTGTTTCTATTATATAGAATGGAATTTATATTGAGAAGTAATACAAGGTGGTGCCCCAGTTTGTTAGCTAAGTTGGTGCCAATAACTCGAATTTCACTTGGGTTTATGGTAGATATACCTATGCTTCATGGGGATTATAAACCAACTTACATAACTAGGGGGGTATCACCTTTTATTTTCCATGATATGCTGGGGATAATCCTTCCCGACTGACTTTCATATTTTTCAGAGGGGTAGGTCAACCACCAACCAGATTAATAGCATACCTCTTGGAGAGAACTTGCAGCGCCGCCTGCGCGCTCAAGGTGAACACATTCTCACTCCAAGGGAAGCACGATACGGCAGATACGTATTGTATATGCATGACAAACAAAAAAAAACTGGCTGACATCCAACACTTCCGGAGGTTGTAAATGAAAGTTTTTAAGTTAGTGATGCGATAAGCTCACTCCCTGAATAGGGACAGCATCCATGTCAGGAACAAATGAAATGAGTCAGATTTGGGGACATCCAGGAAGTCAACTGTAAGCAACATATATAAACACTTGACCAGCAACATCATAGATTTTATGGTTTGAACAATGAACATATCCCTGGGATTCCCTGGTAAGTTGACTATTTCGTTGAGTATGTTCAGTACTGTTGTCGAACATTACATGTCTGATGCACCCTTGATGTTTTAGAGATCTTCTGAGTATGCTGAGGGTCACAAGGCGGTATAACATGGTATCACTAACTAAACTGTGTCCCACCAATGTATCGTAGGCTTTGTAAGTCTCAAAACATATCCAACTAGTACCCCAAGTATTAACAAGTTTCTTCAACATGATTTCAATTGTTGTCCCATTTTATGAATCATCTAGTTATACATGGAATATCACTACTTGGTTCAATGTTTTGTTGCTCCCTTCAATCAATGTTTGATACCATATGGGCTCCAAAAATGAAAAAACCAGAGACAGTATTGGGGGAAGGTATTCATACCATCCCCAAATTGTTTTTGTTTTGGGATATGTTGCATCTATTTATTTGGAACCCGATGAAATGGTTGATCATGAACCGGATGCGGTTTATGATGGCCCCTCACCTTTTTATAGCCCTATTTGTTGAAAATAATGTCACTGCCATGTTTAAATCATTGAACCATATATATTTATATACATATATGTACATTTTATATTATATGTACATATTGACACACATAGATTCTAGATATGGCGAATATTAGCACAAACGCGACTGGAGCCCACCCGGGCACGGAAGCCGCGCAACAGGTGCGGAAGTTGTTCTCCGAAGAGGCGTGGTACGGTGATCGGTCGCAGGAAGTCATCGCCATTGGTATGAATCCTGTGGTTATCATAGGTACCTACAAGGTGATACCCCGCTAGTTATAAGTTAGTTTATAGCTCCCATTAAGTATACGTAGGTATACCTACCATAAACCCAAGTTATTGGAGTTATAAACCAACTTAGCTAACAATGGGGCACCACCTTGTAGATATAATTCATACTATGATATCATATGGTTATCGTAGATTCATATATATATATATTATATATATCATTTGTTTAATGTAGATATTTACGTATCTAGATATGTGGAGATCAGTGGAGATCTATTTTTTTTGGAGGTCATATATATATATATATTTATATATATGTAGATAAATATCATGGTAGTAATCCTATAGATATCTATAGATATATTTCTCGACATTCAATAGTAGATAAATTAAACATCACTGCAATGATTTTGTATATGTTGCATTTGTACATTTGTATACCGCCAACTGTACACTGCATTTTCCTCTACATGTAATGCAAATATTTATACATATCTCATACAATTACATGATTACATATGTGTTGCGTTTTACAAATATTCATTTATTTAATCAATGTGTTTCATTTATTCACCAAGGGTAATGTGTGTGGTGTGTGGTGTTTTTTTTTCTGAACACTAATTGAGGAAAACAAAAACAAAAAAACACATGTTTTCTGATCATGTCTGCCCATTAGTCCTCTTGTTGGTTATTTGTTTGCTCTTCTTGGCTCATTGGTTTGCCCTTTTCTGATCTTTTCTGTTTTTTTTTGCTATGTTTCGCTCTTTTTGGCTCTTTTTGGTTCATTTTTCTGCTCAGTCTTGTTGGCTGTTTTTGGCTCTTAGTTAGTTCTGTTCTGTTTGCCTCTTCCGGGCTCATTTTTGCCTTTTAAATATTTCTTTCTTGCTCATTTCTGCTCTTTCTGGGTTCTGTTTTGTTTGTTTTCGTATTTAGTTGCCTTTGTGTTTGCTCAATTTTGCATGTTTGTGCTCATGTATGCTCTTGTTTGCTCAATTTGGCTCTTTGTAGCTCGTTGTTTTTTTTGGCGGAAATATGTTTTTTTGGTTTTTGTGGAAATAAATGTAAATATATGTACTTGTATGAAATCAGTTGTGTCTTCCCAGGGCGCAAGTCCTCTCCACAGCTACTCGGTCCTGTCAGCATGTGGCCAAGCCACTGGATGACGCTGTAATCTTCGCAAGTGATGTGTGGAGTTCAAAGTTTCTACCCTCTGGTAATAGCGGACATAGCTATGGAAAATGGCCCATGGAAATAGATGGTTTACCTCTGAAACATGGTGATTTTCTATAGCGAACTGTTAAATTACCAGAGGGTACTGCAAAGCATGACCCTTTACGGCAAGCTGAAATTCTCTGAAGTTGATGCTCATCGCTGTCAGCTGTAAAGCAGTTGTAGTCATGTGTTGCAATAGGAAGGGACTGGAAACCATCGGAAACCTTTGTGTTCGCTGTGTTTGCACACATGTGGATTGTTTTTTTTAACAAAAAAACTAAGTAGGTTTCAATAGGTTTATTTTGGTTTCCTTTGAGTGATGTCTCTGTTGATTTTGTTTATTTTTTTTTGCTCTTTTTGTTTTTTTTTTTTAATATTTCAAAAAATATTTTTGCAGAAAAGGAAAACTAGCAAAAGACAAACCCTTGCTCAAACAAACCCTGTATGATGCGCCACGCGCTTTACCTCTACTGATTTCTGTTTTGATTAATTAATGTCTATTGTTTGTTGGTTTCAGTTGTTCTAGCACTATTGTTTTTTTTCGAAATAACATATCCTGATGCTTGCAGATGCAATTGTTATTGACTTGTTATTGACTTGTTATGAGGTAGACATGGTGCGCAAAGAAACTTCATGTCGTGCCAACAAAAACATTTCTTCGCATATCTTCACATAATATTTGTATTATTAGTTCTTGATTCTTGACAATATAACATATAAATTGTGTAATGCATAAAAACACAACATATTGATAATTTGATGTACTGCATTTCTAATTTGTGTAGATATACTGTACATGTCTGTTCGACCGTAGATTGATATGCAACGAATATCTATATAACTAGGGTATACTAGGGGGTTTAAAAAATGCAAGTTGAGGAAAATCAATCCAATAACTGTTGGATTTTGGGCAATTACGACTATTGTTAGATGGTTTTATTAATAGATTTATATTTGGGGAGCACCGCCTTGTCATAAATGAGTTATGACATCAATTACAATGAGGGTAGGCTTAGTCCAGTTATAGTTGGGACATTTTTACCCACTTAGCCAGTGAGGGGACGCTTAAATTCACAACAGTATCATCTGAGCAGTGTCCATAGCCCTGCTGATCGTTTCTGGTGATCATCCAAGATGGGAATCCATTAGATAACCAACCAGGATATCATCCAGGATAAACAGGCGATCATCAACCAGCTTTGGAACGCCCAAATTAGCTGAACTGTGACCATTAAAGTTCCGAGCGCAGTTTCCTGATGCGGATCCCCGGAGCTGGTTTTGAATCTGACTATGTGGGGCGATGGGCGTTGGGGGCCACAGGTAACTCCTATTTGATGTTGGTTAATGATGGTTCATGATGGTGAATGAACCATATATCTGAGTGATTAATGATGGTTAATGATGGTTAATGATGGTTAATGATGGTTAATGATGGTTAATGATGGTTAATGAACCATATATCTGAGTGGTTAATGATGGTTCATGATGGTTAATGAACCATATATCTGAGTGGTTAATGATGGTTCATGATGGTTCATGATGGTTAATGAACCGTATATCTGAGTGGTTAATGATGGTTCATGATGGTTCATGATGGTTAATGACCCATATATCTGAGTGGTTAATGATGGTTCATGATGGTTCATGATGGTTAATGAACCATATATCTGAGTGGTTAATGATGGTTCATGATGGTTCATGATGGTTAATGAACCATATATCTGAGTGGTTAATGATGGTTAATGATGGTTAATGATGGTTCATGATGGTTAATGAACCATATATCTGAGTGGTTAATGATGGTTAATGATGGTTCATGATGGTTAATGAACCATATATCTGAGTGGTTAATGATGGTTAATGATGGTTCATGATGGTGAATGAACCATATATCTGAGTGGTTAATGATGGTTAATGATGGTTCATGATGGTGAATGAACCATATATCTGAGTGGTTAATGATGGTTAATGAAGGTTAATGATGGTTAATGATGGCCTGGTAAACGTATAAAAAGAACTAGCGAACTGGAAATTCACCATTGAAAAATGGGTAAATCAACTATTTCTATGGGCCATGTTAGATAGCTATGCTAAATTACCAGAGGGCTAACTACAGTTACTCTACTGGGGTTTATTAAAAAACAAACATCTTTGTGAGGTTAAAGTTCATCCAACTTGGTTATGAATTTGTTATCCACTTTATCATAGTTTCCCATTTAGTGTCTGGTCAAATCCCGTATCCCAGCTAACCCCTAACCTCTTTGCTTAAGCACATAAAATATCAAATTGGTTTCAACACCCAGATAACTATAGACTAGATAAATATGTGGAATACACACTAGTTGCTGGAATTAGTTCAACCAACTTAGCTAACATAATTCAACTCTAAATCATAATTTTCTTGGTGGAATACCAATTTATTGTTACACTTCTCCTACTATTTTCGAGATCGCACCGAAAATGCCGGGTAGGCCTTTGCCAAACTTCCCTTGGTCAAGGAAGCGGCACAAGCCGCCAAAGCCACGTGCCTTTTCTGGATCATGCCGTGGTGATTTTAAGTGAGTTGGTTTTTATCATTGGCTTTACCACATGAACTGGCAGTGTGTCAAAACCAATAGTACCCCTGTAGTGTACATCAAAATAGCTGGGATTCATGGATGTTCATCCCACTAAAAATGGTTTTAATAGGTATTGACCCATACCCAACTATCAAATAACTATCATTTATGATGATTACCCGTACAACAATCATCAATGTGATGATCGTAACCCTTAGAGCCTTAGATTGATTGACTTCCATTCTTTCGTAATTACATAGTGGGGCCACCCAGCGGAAAAAGGTTGGTTTATAAACCCCATGAATACTATCCCGACAAAATTATAAGTACAATAAACATCGATAAACCATCGTTATTGAAGTTAACCAATTTAGCTATCGTTTTGGGGCCCCACATTGTAGTATATTGTAGTTAAGTATGGAATATCCCAATTATCAGCTTCGATTCTGGAGGCTTCATACTGTGGGACCCCCAAATCATCCAAGTCATTCGACTGTTTTAGTATTGAAACACATGGGATCCCTCATTTTAAGAACCCCCCTAATATGGGATACCCTCTTGTCAACTAACATAGCTACTAAAAATGGCCTTTTATAGTGATTTTTCCCATTAACAATGGTGATTTTCCATAGTTATGTAAACGTTTACCAGAGGGTATCCCAATACCTAGATTTGCTGCATTGGTGGAGTCCTGGAGCAAGTCCAAGTTGAGGGTGGAATATCATGGATTTTTAACCTGGAAAAAAAAGAAATGGATTCAGTTGACTTAGCGGTTGTGAGTGAAAATTCCGAGTAAGTGGGCTGTGTTATACAAAAAAAAACCTAAGATCCCCTAAGTATCAGTATTGTCCCATGAAGCCCATGAAGTCTTTCTTGGTAGTCAGGGTGTTGGGCTCAAGTTAGGACCTTTTAAAATAATCTGGTTCAAAAGTTAGAATAACAGTTTATTCACACATAATGCAATATAATCATAGAATCACATATAATCCCATCTTCAGTTTCCCTCAAGTTATCTTCAAGTTAGCGTTCATCCAAGCAACTGAAGATGGTGTGGGAGCCCTGGAATCATGGTGTATTGAAGGGAAATCATCCCCTTTTATGACCGAAAAACATTCATCTTCGTGAAATATGATCATTTTCCCAGATGCATTAACAATATTTAACATTCATTGGATTTCATCCATGAACCATGGTTAACAATATTTCACTAACAATATGTTTCCAAGATGTATATTGACGCGTTTTTGCTGCCCAGGAGCAATCGACCAGTTCAGCTGGAAGACGATCTCCCAGCGACAGAGACTTGACAAAAAGTGGATGGAAGCCATGGAAAAAAATGGTGGTGAGGATCAAAAGATGGTGCTATAAATTCATCCACTTATTCAACACCAAGAATCTCAAAGCCATGTGTTTTTTGTCTATCCATGAAGATATCAATGGATTGTAGCCGTTATTATATATACGTATATATAATGTATATATAAGGTGTGTGTATATATACAATGTGTACACATAGAATATATATATATATACTAGTATATATATATATAATTGTATATACATTTATAAATGCACACGGATCAACCCCCAGAAATTGGGACTGAGACAGCTGTCGGCTTCGCAATCAGTTGGCTCTGGTGGATGTCGGGGGAATTGCTGACACTTATTCATTGATGGGGATTTATCTGGGTGAATTATAACGACCTCACTGCGACCTCACTGGAAATCATGATTAATAAGGGGAATCATCCCCAAATGGCCTTATGTCAGGTTAGTGAAATATTATAATTTACCCAGATTGATGGGGATTTATAGGTCGTGAATCTTTGCTAAGTTGGTTTATACCCTCTGGTAAACTAACAGTTTGCTATTGAAAATGACCATAGCAATAGCTGATTTTCCCAGCTATAAAATGGTGATTTTCCATAGTTATGTTAGTTTACCAGAGAGTAAGTAACACTTATGGGTTCAATAGGTAGATTTAAACCAACAAACATTTCACTGGGAGGAAGGGCATCACCTTGTTGTCAGTTCAGGGAACAAAACCATGGCCCTTCCCCTATTCCTGGTTTCAAAGGATCAAAGCGATTCTACGTAGGCACCACATCTATATCATGTATATAATCTGTCCTTGTCGAGTGTTTAAATGCATTTTAGGTTGGGTCAGAATCCTGTGTGCGCAAGTGAGTCGCCGTCCTTCATTTTATGAGTAATTGCAATCAGAAGTTCTGCTCGCGAACTCGCAAAACACATGATTTCAGAGAAAGATGGAATGACCGGGGGCCAGACGACAAACCATCTTCAAATATGTAAGTAGAAAATTATCCAGGTCAGCTTTGACGTTCCGCTGTTGCAGATATCCATAGGTGTCTTGGGCCGCTGGGCCCATCAATGAGACTAGAAGGATTTTTGGATTTTATCCTTTGGTAAATTAACAGTGGGACCCTGCAAAATTACTGGTTGGTGGTTGCCAGCGGGCGCACCAGGCGCCTGGTAATTTCGTGTGTTTTCTGTGTTAAATGGGTTCGTTGGGGGGTGGGTGGGTGGGGGGGGATGTTAACGTTCATTGGACTTACACACTTACGTGATGCTACGCTACTGCACGTTCTCTTCAATTTACACAACTACGTGATGCTACGCTACTGCACGTTCTCTTCAATTTACACAACTACGTGATGCTACGTTGACTGGGGTGGGGGGGTGGGGGGGTGGGTGTGGGGGATGTTAACGTTCATCTAATGCTCAATTCAACACATATGTGTCACTTGAACATGGGTTCAGTACAGGTTTCTGAGGTAAGTACGTGCATCATGCATTACGGAAATACCTGTACTGGGAGTTTTGCCGCTTGCTCACTGACATCAACAGTACCAAGTTGTCGAAAATCGCTGGCACGCAGCAAATCGACCGACAATGGTTGAGTCTGAAGAATTTTTTTCCAATCTTCACAGAAGACTTTGGTGGGGTCAGAGGTGAATCCATCTCTGCGACGTCGTTGTTTCCAATATGTGTGGAGATGTAATCTCCAAACTTGTACACCACTGGTCATGCTGAAAGAGCTGGCAAAGTTGGTGAAAAACAACGACGCTGACAACTGCTAAAAGAGTTGAAAAGAGACGTTTTGATGCAGAAACGCTATAAAAAAACGCCAGGCGCCTGACGCGCCCGCGACCTGGTGGTTTGGAACATGAATTTCATTTTTCCATTCAGTTGGGAATAATCATCCCAATATTCCCAATTGACTACTAATTTCTAGTGAAAACCAATCTTCCAACCTCTATCTGCTAAGGCCGATGTTAATTTACTGGAGGGTATCCTCTAAATTTGTCTGCAGAACTTAATTGACTGGAGGGTATCCCCATGTCTACTGGAGGGTATCCTCTAAATGTTAATTTTTAATTTCTAGCTGCAGACAAGACTGAGCCGATCATGGTGCCATGGGCCTTCACCTCACTGGACCCATCGGGACTTTGATTAAAGAGACGCACATGTTGTCACATCTGGATATAACACGTTTGGAGAAATCGCACATGATTTTATTTGAGCGTATGAGAATCCACCAGAAACTACGAAAACACACACATATATATATATGTATATACGTATATATATATATACACACATATATATATATAAATACACGTACATATATATATAATACATACGTACATGTATATATATATACATATTGTATGCAGTTGAATTGCACTGTACCATTTTTGTTAGACTTTTGGAATTTTGAGATACTGTAATATGAACGACTGGCTCGGGTTGCCCTTGATGACGAGCTGCGGTGTCAGGATAGCTACCCCGGTGCCAAGTCGCCACGTGGCAGGAGAAACAGTGGGGGCTTTTACGGTGTTTTTTTTGGATGTGGAAACCCCACCATTTGTAGATAATTTTCTTAGGGACACCATAGAATTTCCAAATTTACATGTTAGTTTACCCGGTAAATCGTTGAAGCGAATAGGCAATTTTCGATATGTTTAGATTCCCGCAAATTATGCATCCTGGATGTTTTTGAAACTGCCTATTTAGTTCAACGATTTATATACCGTTCTTAAAAAAATGTTACTTTCCATAGCGCGACTTTACTTTGCCAAAGGGTATATTTGGTGGTTGGTATATGTTGGTATACCATATCAGCCAACAAAAATGACGATGAAACCATTGCGAATATCATCAGACGTGAATGTAGGTTGTGGGTTCAAACATGATATATAATGACTACAAAATGGAGAATTATATTGAGTGGATATCATCAAATATGATGATTATGGCCATGATATATCCACTTTCGTGATCATGTTATCCATTTTCATTCATAGTGGATGATGGTTCATGATAATCCCAGTTGGCAGATATATTTCGAATTGACACCAGCAAACCGTGGAGCATGTCCAACCTCGGCAGAGGGTTTTCTTTATTATTAGTAGATTAGTAGTAGGTGTTGAATTCGAAAATCAATATATAATTACTACCCAACATATTGTTCCTACATTTTTCTTTACTGTATCATATGGAGGTTTCCTAAGTCATGCGGGTACCCTGGGGATCAAGGCATGTCTGGAGCAGACTTCGGCTTTTGCAGGCTTTGTACTTTGTACTAGCCATTTCTGGCTTTATTGGAGATGGTTTACTGACCAGGGTGTAGCGCATGAATGTTTTGACAAATTCATGATAACTAACTAATTCAGGGCAATTATATGGAATATTTATGAATACTTATGAATTTTAAGACACTAACAGAACCAATATGTTCAGTCTTGTGGGTCTCATTATTTTGACACTTCCCCCTTGAAGTTTCACTTTTGAATTGAGGCCATGAATGAGTAGGTCTTTTCTTGCTGAGAAGTTTGTTTGTGTCCATGTGTTTATTTCACTTTATGGGTGGTCCAATCACAAACACATGTGGTTCCGACCAGACATTGGGAACTGGCGAGCAGCCATAGTTGTTTGTTTCCCTCGCACAGCTCCTCACAAATTTGAATTCACTTACAAGGGAATTTGTTTGGATGTGCATCCCTGTTTCTACGTGGTATATAATCCATACTATGTATATATATATATATATACATACATAGACAATAGATCAAATATAATTACACATACATCTGCAGTTATCATCTATGTATATGGATATGCATACTGGCCGTTAATATAAGCCATGCTTATAACTTATCAATCTACTAGAATCTGGAACAACATGGCATAGTATAGGACAGAATGGAACAATATGGAATGCGATGAAATAAATCACTTATCTATATTATTATATATATATATATATTATCAATATTCAGTGTATTAGCTACAGTTATAGCCATTAACAGTTATAATCGGCTTTTGACTTCATTTATATAAGTTATATATAGACTTACTTGCATGAGTTATATCCGCATGGCCACAATTGTTAGCCCGGCCATAATCAGCTGTAAATCCCATTCAATCACCATTTTCCTGGGTTACATCACCATTTTCCTATGGTTTTCCTATGGTTTTCCATATAGATCACTACTCTAACTGGAGCTCCACTGAGGTCTCCACCAAAGTCAGCGGCTCAGCGGCTCGGTATAACTCTATATATAGATAACTGTAAACAACCGGTTATATATAGATAACTATATATATGAACTATATATGAGCTATATATGAACTATATATGAACTAAAATCATTGGTATAACTATATATATATATGAAATTCATGCAAACAACCCGGGGTAACTATATATATATATATATATGTGGTAATAATTATGGCTAACTTTCATAAGTTGCTAGAAACCTTCACAAGATATCATAACGATCATAATGGGTACAACTATGGCATTCTAACCTCCATAAGTTGGTATATGGGGTCCCACTTAGATCATTGGAACTGAACCCCCAAGTAAGGGATATATGGTCAGCACAATCTGGGGACCCCTATATAGGTAGCTAAGACAACAACTATGGTTTATGGTACTTATAACTATAGTACCCATGGGGTATACAAACCAAGTTGCAATTGGGTGCCCAACTATGCATGGTCTAACCATGATAGACTCTATATGTATGCTTTTGTTGATTGGCATTTATTCTAGATTTGTTGTTTCAAGCGTTTGGTGGATTTTTTAACTCCCCCCGGTGATACATACGCCTTATATCTTGTCGTACGTCCATCTCAACATATATTTGTTGATTGCATCATTGGTACTGAATCATGTTGAATCATATTAATCATGCCCTATCCAAACACTGTCTGAGAAGGTGCTTAACCCCAAACTCTTCCTAAGAAGGTACGGCTGGATGTATAGCGATATCACTCTCCGAATTTGGCAGAAACCCAGAAACCATCCCTGGAAGGGTTCCAGAATACCCTGAAGCCCCTGGAAATCTCCGTTTCCCCAATCTATCCACATTAGTCATGGTAATAATGAGCCGAGCATCATTTTTGTCCCCTTTGGATCCAGCCGTACCTTCTGAGAGAATATTTGAGGTTTGATTTAGGAGTTTACCCTTGGCAAAACATGGCTTGAAATCCTGGTCATCTTCCAGCAAGCAAGGTTTGCCAGAGGATAAGTACCTTTCAACATAAAAATCCCATAGAAATCCCATAGAATTCCCATAAAAATCCCATAGAAATCCCATAGAATTCCCATAGAAATCCCATAGAATTCCCTTAGAAATCCCATAGAATTCCCATAGAATTCCCATAGAAATCCCATAGAAATCCCATAGAATTCCCATAGAATTCCCACAGAAATCCCATAGAAATCCCATAGAATTCCCATAGAAATCCCATAGAATTCCCTTAGAAATCCCATAGAATTCCCATAGAATTCCCATAGAAATCCCATAGAAATCCCATAGAATTCCCATAGAATTCCCACAGAAATCCCATAGAAATCCCATAGAATTCCCATAGAAATCCCATAGAATTCCCTTAGAAATCCCATAGAATTCCCATAGAATTCCCATAGAAATCCCATAGAAATCCCATAGAATTCCCATAGAATTCCCACAGAAATCCCATAGAAATCCCATAGAAATCCCATAGAATTCCTATAGAATTCCCATAGAAACCCCATAGAAATCCCATAGAAATCCCATAGAAATCCCATAGAAACCCCATAGAAATCCGATAGAAATCCCATAGAAATCCCATAGAAATCCCATAGAAATCCCATAGATTTCCCATAGAATTCCCATAGAATTCCCATAGAAACCCATAGAAATCCCATAGAATTCCCATAGAAATCCCATAGAAATCCCATAGAAATCCCATAGAATTCCCATAGAATTCCCATAGAATTCCCATAGAAATCCGATAGAATTCCCATAGAAATCACATAGAAACCCCATAGAAATCCCATAGAAACACCATAGAAATCCCATAGAAATCCCATAGAAATCCCATAGAATTCCCATAGAAATCCCATAGAATTCCCATAGAATTCCCATAGAAATCCGATAGAATTCCCATAGAAATCCCATAGAATTCCCATAGAAATCCCATAGAAATCCCATAGAAATCCCATAGAATTCCCATAGAATCCCCATAGAAATCCCATAGAATTCCCATAGAATTCCCATAGAAATCCCATAGAAATCCCATAGAATTCCCATAGAATTCCCATAGAAATCCCATAGAAATCCCATAGAATTCCCATAGAAATCCCATAGAATTCCCATAGAAATCCCATAGAAACACGATAGAAACCCCATAGAATTCCCATAGAATTCCCATAGAAATCCCATAGAAATCCCATAGAAATCCCATAGAAATCCCATAGAGATCCCATAGAAACACCATAGAATTCCCATAGAAACCCATAGAAATCCCATAGAAATCCCATAGAAATCCCATAGAATCCCCATACCACCCATAAAAATCCCATAGAAATCCTATAGAAACACCATAGAAATCCCATAGAATTCCCATAGAATTCCCATAGAAATCCCATAGAATTCCCATAGAAACCAATAGAAATCGCATAGAAATCCCATATAAATCCCATAGAAATCCCATAGAAACCCATAGAAATCCCATAGAAACACCATAGAAATCCCATAGAAATCCCATAGAATTCCCATAGAAATCCCATAGAATTCCCATAAAAATCCCATAGAATTCCCATAGAAACCCATAGAAATCGCATAGGAACCCCTTGGAAATCCCATAGAATTCCCATAGAATTCCATAGAAATCCCATAGAAACACCATAGAAATCCCATAGAAATCCCATAGAAATCCCATAGAAATCCCATAGAAACACCATAGAAATCTCATAGAAATCCCATAGAAATCCTATAGAAATCAACCATGATTCGTCCCCTCAGAGGCCGAGTGGAACGACGCCTACAGCTGCGCCAAAAGCTGCGCTGCCCGCTGCGAACGCGCTGCCCGCTGCGCCCCTCGGTGACAAGAGACAAATGGTGAAACATAGCGAAAATGAGCATAGAAATAGTTGATTTACCCAGCTATAAAATGGTGATGTCCCATAGTTATGGTTAGTTTACCAGAGGGTAACCATGATTAACCATCATTAACCACTCAGATATATGTTTCATTAACCATCATTAACCATCATTAACCATCATTAACCATCATTAACCATCATTAACCATCATTTATGGTCAATAATGTCATTATTATGTGTTAAACCCAAATAGTATATATATATATATATCATCCCAAACAAAAGATATGAATGAGGTGTAACC